AGGGCGACAAACGATCACACAGTCCATCTGATGGTAAGTGTATGCCGTCGCATCACATAGACATCTACATCTATCCTTGGTAATTTTATACAATTGCGGTCACCTTGTTTTTTGACTCTTGAAAATCGAAAAACCAGCCGATTTCGATGATTTTTTTTAATCTTCGTTTCTACGGCGAATTTACGAAAATATTATAGGTGTAAAAAAATTAAAACTTGTATTGGTTTCAGGGCTTTAAATTTTCATGAAAATGCACACATTCACGTTTAATTGTTCATAACTTTTTTACAAATAATCGAATGAAGTTGTTATACTTTTTTCATAATCTACACAAAAAAACGAACATTTAAAAAACATTGAAAATGTTTGTTTATAATTTTTTTATTTTGGTGTTTTATTGAGTGTAAGATCGAGCGAAGCGAGTTCGGTACAGGGCATCCCAACTCGGACAGGTTAGGTTAGAAGGAGATGGCGGGGTCCAGTGAGCGAGCGAATAGACCCCGCCATCGAGTCGGGATGCCCTAAGTCCCGAGCTCACTTCGTTCGATCTTACACTTAACAAAAAACCAAAATATTAACTTTTATAATTATTTCGATTTTCTAGAGCAATTTAAAGAAATTTAAAAAAAAAACGTATAAAAACTTTAAGTGAGATAAAAAATTAAGAAACAAACATTCAATGTTTTTTAAATGTTCGTTTTTTGTGTAGATTAACAAAAAAAAAAATATAAACTTCGTTTAATGCTTTGCAAAAAAGTTATAATCGAATATATGGGTAAAAAGAAAATCATCCTCCTGTATGAGAGGTACCCAAATTAAAAATGTTTTTTACGATTTAATTTAATAATTTTGTAGGCGTGATTTATATCTATAATTACACAAAAGTAAAGATTTGTAGCACTTAAAGTCTCCAAGTGAAACCGCGGACGGAAGGACGGACGGACATGGTGAAACTATAAGGGTTCCTTGTTGTGTAACTACGGAATCCTAAAAGCTCGACTGCGTAAAACAGTTCACTGAAAGGTCAATAATGATTTTAATTGGAGTTAATAAGAATATAAGTTTTGAAAAATTAAATGACATTGGTAGCTAACCAACTTTAAATAGTTATAGATCTTAAATAGCCTTAAAAATTAACAATGGTTAGAGAAACCTAAAGATGATTTTCAAAGACCTATTTAATGTATTTAACGGGTTTTTCAACAAGAACTTTGTTTTTCAATTGGGGCAACACCAACAACATGACAGTTTTGACATTGAGTTTTTTGACCTATTCGTAGTAGATGATTTGGCAATTGCTACAATGAATTCAATTTCGCTCGAAAATCGCATTAAAATAATTAAAATCCACTATGAAAATGGTGGTTCTGTTAAAGATACGTTTCGTAAAATTCGTGATATGTTCAACTGGTGCAGAGATTGAAGCTGACCGACCATTCACATCGCCGTAGATTCGCTCAATTCATTCAGGAACAGCCCGCTGGTTTTTCTGAAATAATCATTTTTTCAGACGAAGCCCATTTTCACTTGTCAGGGTACGTCAACAAGCAAAATTGCCGCATTTGGACTGAAAATCCTAAAGCGATTATTGAGAAGCCTTTGCATGCTCAACGTGTCACTGTATGGTGCGCTATGTGGTCTGGAGGCGTGATTGGGCCGTTTTTTTACGAAGATGAGACTGGAAATGTGGTAACGGTCAATGGATCACGCTATCGCGAGATGTTAACATCTCAATTTTGGCCTATTATTGATGACATCGATATCACAAACATGTGGTTTCAATAGGACGGTGCCACATGTCACACAGCCAACGAAACGATCAATTTAATGCAATCCAAATTTCCCGATCGCATAATTTCACGAAATTCAGCTGTTAAATGGCCAGCCAGATCGTGTGATTTAACACCACTGGATCATTTTTTGTGGGGCTATGTTAAGGACAGAGTCTATACGGAGCCAATCGGATCGATCGCGGCCTTAAAACTCAAAATCCGTGACGTGATTCGAAATAGACCCGCCATTTTGCCAAAAAGTGATTAAAAACTTTGATGAAAGAATCGACATCTGTCAGCGTGCTCGTGGTGGACATTTGCCAGATATCATTTTTCATTCATAATTGCCAAACTTTTCTCTTCGTAATACAATAAAAATTTGAATCATCTTCATCTAAACTCCTTGTTTTATTTTGTTTTAGAAAACAAAGATCTTGTTGAAAAACCTTCTATATTCACCCCACGTGACATAGTTCGTCGACTTTATTTTTTTCTTTCTCACAAAATGGCGTCTGGTTGTCGCCATATTGAATTTTGATTACTGTCATGTCGTTAGTGACACACGCAAGATTAAGTTAAATTGTTAGACGTAAGAATCATCAAACTCGGCCCACGCATTTGGTCTCTACCATAGAATACTATAATACTTGTGTATTATAGTATATTCTATGGTCTCTACAGCGCTACAAAGGAACAAACATACACATATAGGCTTATAAACGCAATACCGTCCTTTGCGTCGCCCACTCTTGTAAAAAGGTAACGTATACTCTACTCACGTATGCGTTGGCGTAAAGTTTCCAGCTCCCTACGCATAATGATGCCTTCCTGCAGGACTTCGCACAGTAGTATAAACACTGAGTAGTTCTGCATCTCGGTGGCGTCGAAGTTGTTTATAATAGTTGCCACTCTATCAGTCCCGGCATAGCCCTTTAAATATTGTATTGGAGCTGAAGTACAAGGTAGTTGAAAGGTACAATTACTTAAGTGAGGTAACAGTCTATTTATATATTTTTTGAAGTGAAACTTCTTTATCGACCTAGGGGAGACATTTAGTACGGTGTTAAAAACGTTACGTTTTCTTGTAACGTTTCACCGCCGAGGCTGCATGAGTATACAATTATTATGAGCCTACTTATGTAAAAAAATAAAATAAAAGAAGAATGATATGCTGTAAAGAAGTTTACTTGAAAATTCTTTATGCAATACTATATTGTAACTGGTTCAAACCAACATATCAAAACATATCATTTTTAATTATCCCAAAGACTCCACTAGATTGATTATTATTTTAATTTTTAATGTGGTTGATAGAAATTTATGCATAAGTATATATTTATTACATGCCTTTACAAATTTATCACATTTTTTGTATTGATTGACCAAAATTACGCGAATATTTTCATTTAGAAATAATCATTGTTATTATTGACATTGATGTACTAAAACGTGTGCAAACTTGTATATATACAATGTGAGTGTTTTCTATTAGATAATTTAAGTAAGACACTTAATATTATATTAAAAATTTACCATTCAACTAAAATCCAAAACAAATTCTTAAAAAAATGAAAATAAAATATTTGAAACGTTTTGTTTCTTTAACGTTATCTTCCTGTGTCAGTCAACTCTACCATATTAAGATACCATAAAGGTGACTGTCTCGTTGGTTTGGTGGTTGTAACCGCGACTACTAATCATGAGGTCCGGGGTTCGAATCCCGGGTCGGGAAAAAACAGTTACTGAGTTTTTCTGTCAAGAAACTCTTAGTAGCTGTCCGGAGTAAGAAAGTTAACGGTGTTTAACGTCTGTGATTCGGAAAGCACGTAAAGCCGTTGGTCCTGCGCCTGATCTCTCTCCGGTTGTGTCGGTTTACCGTCCCATCGGACAACGAGAGTGAAGGAATAGAGAGTGCACCTGTGCTTGCGCATACATACGTGCACTGTAATCCTGTCCTGCGCCGACGGCTGGTCTCCGTTGAGGCTGACCGTAGTGATCCAAATTCAGTCTGGAGTACATTATTAAGCTATTGCATAGCTTCTATCGCGGGCCTTGAGCGCGGGGACCGAATCCAGAAATTCCGTAACGAAAAAAAACTCACGCTCCCCACTCCGACGAGCACGGAGTTGTGGCGTTGAAAGCCGTGCAGCGCGTTTTAGTTCGGCAGACTTCGGCACTCGGCAGACTTCGGCACGGTGTTTGTGTGCGTGAACACTAGCTGCTAACTCAATGATAAAAATTCCTGAATAACCTACATGTATTGTAAGATATTAAAAATATTTTAAACAATATTAACTTCTCATTTATTCAATAAGAGAAAAAAAATTGTTTTCTTATCGGTCACCACGCTCAAAAATTGTAACTTGATTTAATATCAAAGACTTAACTGCATAAATAAAATAAATAAATAATTATAATTGCATAAGTTGATAAAAAATGCTATGCAATATCTTTACCGCGGCAGTCACCGATCGCCACACGTATTTTTTTAGGTAAAATTTTTGAACGCTCCTTAAAAGCTTTGCTTTTGCTCTGCTTTGTCTGGTCGGTTTCCTTACTCATGTAGCACAAATTTACACACGTACCTTTTCAGGCATTGCAATATGGTGAAGAAGTAGCTATAGCTAACATATAAAGCGTTTTATCTTAGAAGATAAAACGCTAAAATGAGTACTTAGAAGTGTTCATTAAGGGTACAATTAGTTTTATTAAAGAGTAATTCTTTTACTAATTTTATAAATTTACTAAATGTATTTTCACCTTTTATATTTAAAGGCAGTTTGTTATATACTTTTATAAACATTGAATATGGACGGGAGGTATGTAGTACTAAATTAGATTCCGAGTTAAGCAGGTTGTTTGTAAACACGTCTTTCAGCTTGTAATTATACTTAAAAAGCAGTGTGCAAGCACAGCCGCTTTGCGGTAGATACTAGTCAAGATGGTTAGTGATGGTCAGACAGACTTCTTTGCTGAAAAGGAATCCTCCTGACCTAGAAACCGACTTATTTTAAAACGTTAGCCCCTCAGTGGGGGCAGTATAAATACATAAATTTCACAAGCACAAACATTCAGAACCAGAACAATTATTTGTAGGCCATACAAATACTTGTTCCGTGCGCGATTCGAACCTGCGGCCTTAGCACTGCAACTCATTGCTCAGCCACTTCGCCATGGAGCTGTCAGTTGTCAGTCAATTGAATAAATAATAATAATTTCATTACTAACGAATATCTCTTCCAGTAGGGCGTCATGCCTCGAGATCTCTTGCTCACACCGATGAATTTCCTCTTGTCTCTTTATTTCCTCCTTCTCGTCTGCTTCGCAAATTCTCCGCGTGCCTTTGACCCTCAGGAATTCTTCTAATTTGGCCAAATAGTTTATTTCGCCTTCGAACGTTTGCATTTCCTTTTTGTTGGATATGATGATAAGTTACAATGGGATCAATAAGAGTGTGCACTTCGAGAATTTCGGTAAAACTAGCCAGAAGTGTTAATTTGAAAAATCTTTATTCTTTATATAATAAGGGTGACAAACGCGTACACAGCCCACCTGATGGCAAATGGATGCTGTGTTCTGTGTTACATGTCTAATCTACATATTTCTATCCTTGATTAAAAATTAAATGCCTCGTTTCCAGTAAAAAGGGTCACCGGATCACAAAATCCGGATCATAAAATAAGCTTAATTTCTTTTCAGTTTTACTAAATTATGATAATATATTTAATTTTTTTGTAATTTATGTAATATTTGGGATATAAACTTTACAAATAATTTTAATAATATTATAATAAATAATATTACAATATTATATACAATAAGTAACATAGTTAACGAACACCCTCAGACACCCTAATTAGTATATTATGTTATAATCATAATACATACACTGAATTTTTAGTTAAACATGTTCATGCACTGATTATTTATCAAATTAGTTATACTAATTCCGGAAGAATGTTGTGGTCACAGTATAAATCCACGAACGCAAAGACTTTAACGTGTTTGAAATAAAGTTCATTTTTCTTTATTTTTATTGAATGACAGAATTAGTAATAATACAACTAAAACTGCACTCTTAAAAGTCTTATGGCCTTAAGTTACGGTCCATTTCAGTTTGTTTTAACTGTACACATTTAGTGTGACTGCAATTTACATAGTTTTAATTATTTTTGGGATAAAAATTTACCTATTTTAAAAATGATAGGAATCGATTCAGTAAACGATTCTGAACAAACTACTTTCTCAAAGTGCTTTAATTATGTTACGTGTTGTATATTTTTTGCTTAACTTAATTGTCAAACAAGCTTATAGTCCTAATGATGGTGAGTGGCTCTGCAGTTCAAGGACTTCTGAAACCAACTTCAATCAAACTGGGTTACCACTTTTTTTTAACTTTCATAGCGTATATTAACGTATTTTATATTCTCGAAGTTTCGAGCACTTTACAGCACCCCTGGTCACCGGGGGGGGGGCACTGAGGAATTTAACGTCTAGATACAGATCATTAACATGTACAGGATCGCCCCCGTCACTACATCAGATTTGATAGACCATAAATCCTGCGTTTAGAATGTAATTTTTGAATAATAGATTATAGAATAGGTGACAAACAAGCACACTGTCCACCTGAGGGTAAGTAGATGCTGTGGCCCATAAACATCTACATTTATTTTCAATTAAGAAATAAAATGCACATGCGTTGCACCCCTGTGTACTAAGAGGGATTGCCTCATTTCCAGTAAAAATGGTCTCCGGTTCTCTACACTCACCATACGAAACACAGCAGTATTAAGCTGGTACTTACGCTGGTATGCTGTGAGAGCGTGGTCCTGCCTCGGTCGAGCTGACCCATTCGTATTACTACCATAATGTAACTGCAGCAAGGATGCATACCAGATGGAAGTTTGTATTCTTTACCAGCTCAAGGGAATTGAGTCATAAGAAACGAATATGAAATAAAAAAAATTATTAGACCAAAATATCTCTGTTTAGCTGGAACATTCCCTTCCACTTGAGAGCCTCGAGCTTCCTGCAGCACTCGTCGCGGTTGCTGAAAGCGGCGCTCGCGATCTCCAAAATATCCATCAAATACTCCTTGCCCTTCACCAGTCTCCCGATTGTGCGGTTCCACTGGATGTTGAAGTCGTTTCTACCACAAGTTATGACATATTATTTTATTTTATACATCTATTGTAGAGCCGTGGTAGCTCAGTGGTTAACGCTCGCTGTAAATATAACAGAATGCGAGTAACCCGGGTTCGATCCCCCGCCGGCACCAATGAAATTGTTAATTGCAATTTTAAGTGCTGATTTACCACGTGGTCGGCGGTGAAGGAAAACATCGTGAGGAAACCTGCATGTCTGAGGAATAAGAAAAAAAATATTTGGAAGACATGTGAAGTTCGCCAACACGCATTTGGGCAGCGCGGCGGACACTTCCTTGCCCTAAAACCCTCTCAGAAATGAGGGGAGGCCTGAGCCCAGCAGTGGAACGTATATAGGCTGTAACTTTATTTTATTTTATACATCTATTGTAAGGTGTAAATCCCACACTTGATGATATATGATATAAATGATACAAAGTTGCTATGATATGATATATTTGATATGATATTATAAATGATAAAGTAAAAATGAATGCTTGAAGTGCACTGCTCACCGAGTACTGGCGCGTAAAGTGCTGTGTTTTTTATAACTGCTAAGTTGGCATGAAATATGTACGTTTCGCCGTACATCTATAAATATAAAATAATAACCGTGTAGTTGCGGTGTAAGGATCCACTATCCCGTATCACCGCGTGGGTGTCGTAAGATGTGACAGAGAGGAACAAATCAAGAGATGGGCAGCAGCGTATTCCTAATTACGACTGAGAGTAGAGATTAGAGAATGAATAAAGCAATGAAGACTAAAGTTGCCGGTACGAAATAAGCGACGATCGAGCGATGGCGGTAGCGGGGCGGCGCGGCGCGGCGTTGAACTCTAGCTCTCGATTGTTTCGTGCGCGTCGCGCGTCGCGCCGCCCCACGACCGCTATCGCTCGATCGTTGCTTATTTCGTGCCAGCAGCCTAAGAAATAAAAAATTGCGATTGTGGTTAACCGTGGCAATTATGGAAAATATCTCCCCTATGAGGCAATCTATGGGGGAGGCCTATGTTCAGCAGTGGACTTTAAAAGGCTGTGACGGTAACAGTAACATGTAAAATAAAATTAAAGTATCTGTTTGTAAGAGCAAAATAACCGCCTTTTATATTTTGTACCAGTTTCTCGACTCCACCGAGTCAGTAATTCATACTTGAGGCGATGTACATACGCTATTACAACAAAGTCCCAGAAAATATATAAAATTTGATCTGTACAAAGATCAAAAAGTGTTATTAAAGTAAGTTTGTATCAAAACGGTTATTGTAATATTAAGGATATGGATGATAATAACCCCTGGGACTCGGTACCGACTGGGAAGTCGGTGTCTATGTTTAAAAGACTTGTTAAAGAGCACTATCATTCACAGCATAATTATTAATTCGTGATGTGTGATTCATATATGTAACATTAAAAATGTAATATATTGAATTATATTTTTTTGTTATATGTTTATGTATATGTATATGTGTATAAAAAATCCAAATTTATGTGTATATATATATATGGGTTGTTGTATGTATATGTATATGTATATATTATATGTGTATATGTGTACATAAACTGTTAAATAAATGGTCTTAATGATTTCTTATATTTACGCGAACACTATACATTGATTAAAACTACTTTTGCGGATTTTATCGCGTTTTATTTATATTAATTTTAATACCCGACGTTTCGGGTGCTTTCCAGCACCCATGTCGGGGTATCGGCGGGTGTGGAAGCACCCGAAACGGGGGGATCAATTAGAACCCGCGTAAAAGAACACATAGCTGACGTGAAACATCAACGTTCCGGGAAGTCTGCAGTTTGCGATCATATTCTAGATGGCCCCAACCATTACATCAGATTTGATAGACCACAAATCCTCGCGAAAGAACATCGATTCCTACCAAGGTTGATACGTGAGGCTATTGAAATTAAACAACATCCTAATTTCAATAGAGAAGGATCAAGGCTGGGTACTACCACCTGCTTGGGATCCTATAATTAATAAAATTAAAACTAAACCCAAGCATACCACTGCAAGACTTCAAAATACAGTTAGTTCATTCTGCGTAGATCGGACCAAAGACAATAATTAAAAAGCTGAAGGTACTCCGGATTGACTTTGACATCGGGGCGTCAGTCACATCAGTCCCCCGTGACCATGGGTGCTGGAAAGCACCCGAAACGTCGGGTATTAAAATTAATATAAATAAAACGCGATAAAATCCGTAAAAGTAATTTTAATCAATAAATGGTCTTAAATAAAAATAATATCAAAAATTACATTAATAGATAGCGTCCAGGCGAAGTCAGGGCGGGTCACTAACTCATAAATAAGATGGATCAGAATTAAAATTACCGAAATTGTCCTCAAGTCTTAAAGTGCCATGTGAACGGGGTATAAAATAACATACTTATATAAATACTTTTGCTGGAATATTATTGTGTAACATATTTTCAAGCAGAGTATTTTGCGGCAGTGTAACTTGTGTGCTATACTGTGTCGTCAAGCAATTGAGTTCATAAACGTGGAGCAACATTGAGGCTATAAATTAAACACTATTGTGTATTGCACTGCGTTGCGCTATATAGACGTTAACTTTTACGTGGTAGAGGCACGCTGCAGCTTTATTAAATATAGTTGTAGCACGAATGGGTCGGCACGACCGGGGCAGTACCACGCTCTCACAGAATATCAGCGTAAAATACCAGCGTAATGCTGCTGTGTTTCGTATGGTGAGTGTGGAGAACCAGAGACTGTTTTTACTAGAATCTAGGCATTTCATCCTCAGGGATGACAACGCATTTGCTTTTTTATCCTTAGTTGAGGATAAATGTGGATGTCTATGGGCCACAACATCCACTTACCATCAGGTGGACTGTGTGCTCGTTTGTCAACCAATGTTATAAAAGAAACTTGACGACAATACAAATTCAGTTAGAAATTTTAACAAACTTAGTTGCCTAGTTCGTTTACGACCACTTTAATACTTCCGCTATGGATTTTACAGTACGCGAGTATTCCGGGTTCGATGGTCGCTGGCATTAAAACTATTAATGGCAGTTTAGAGTGCTGGCTTACCAAGGCAGTAAAGAAAAACATTGTTAGGAAACCTAAATGTCTAAGAAATTAAAAAAGACATATTTCGAAGTGAATCCCGCCACCATGCATTTGATAAGCGCTACGGACCGAATTTTTTTATAGGCTAAGAGTGATAGAGAAACGAAGCAGCTTCAGCCTGTTCGTTAATGGTTGCTGGGGACAATAGACATCTACATCTATCCTCGATTAAGACTCAAAATTCAGATGCGTTGTCACCCTAAGAGATAAAATGGAATTCCTCGGTTCCAGTAAAAAGGGTCTCCGGCTCTCTATACTTACCTTACGAAACAAAAGTATTAAGCTGCTATTTTACGCTGGTATTTACAGCGTGGTTTTAACTTGGTCGAGCCAACCCATTGTTGTTATAATCATAATATAGTTTGCTGCATAGAATAATATAATACACAATAGAATGGCTGTCAACTTTATTTTGTACAAGGATTGGCGTCGCCAAACCCGATTCGCTGTGTTGACAGACTGAGTAAATTTACACATTTTAGACTTTTGATTAATGTTCAAGATCATCATTAAAAATGGTTTAAATTTTAATACATATTTATTTGTAAATAGGTTGCAATTTGGCATTTTCTAAATAATTTGCATGCGAAATTTGGAAACGATTGTAACGTCAAAACACATCTCGTGTTGACATTTATACGTGTGAATTGACGTATTGGTGACATTTTAGTGGCTACGCGGGATCCGGTCACTCCCCCGTTCCTATTATGTATGTATTATAGTATTCTATGGTTTTCTGCATAGCACTATCCCTAGAATTTTTACGATCGAATATACAAAAATTAATGTTTGTTTGTTCGCATTTTATGCGCTGCCATAACGTTCATCAGATATCGGTAAAACTTTGTCAACTTGCACTTGCACGAACTAACAAAGGTTATCGGCATAGTACAACTGATTTACAGAAGTTGGCGTGCGTGTCATACCGACAAATTTAATTGAAAGTGATATATTTTTCAATTTCAATGAATATGATAATCATTCCCAATTATACAATATAACACTTCCAGCTTTGAAACGATATTACCACAATAATTTCTTTTACGGCAGCAACGCACCGCGACCAGCTAGTTAGTAAAACGAACCTCTCAACAAGGAGTCTGTTGATCTCCTCCCGAACACTTTTATTGTCCGAATTGACGACACAGAATCGCTTCGTAGCCAAGTCCAGGCGGTTCTCCATACGACGAAGGCGGTTGTTGGCGTTCTCTATCATCGCCAGTTCCTGTATTATAGAAAAATAAATTAAAAAAAACGACATTACATTATGATGGGTAGCAACCGACTGCGCAAAAGAGGGGGTTCTGAATACGACTGTATTTTTTATGTGTGTTACCTCAGAACTTTTTTTAGGTGAACCGATTTTGATGATTATTTTTCATTTAAAAGCTGACAGTTCTCATGTGGTCTCATATAAATTTGATTAAGATCTGACCAGTAGTTTTTAAGTTATCCTTAATAATGCGTATTTAATTGACTTCCAACTACATCGATGATATCCTTATTTTATTTATATTCAAGCAGGTTGTACAAAATTACCACATGTTATTAAAACAGCTAATAATATTGAATATGTGATGATAAAATTATTATTTTTAGATGTACCGAGACTGTAATATTGACCCACTCAGACGTACTTCCTCATTTATTACGTTTGTTATGTTATGTTATAGAAAACCAACAGCTTTAGAACTAAAATAGAATACCTCGTTGCCAGTAAAAGTATCTCCGGCTCGTGACGAGAATCGGATCTAAAAATAAGTAATTTTTAGATGTCGGTGCATCTACTGCATTCTTACGAAATATAAAAGCAATTTCACGCTGGTATTGAGCGAGTTTTACGGTAAGCCATACGTGCTGCAGTCATACTTAATACATCAAAATATAAAAAGATACGTAGCACAAAGAAGGCTACAATATTATGGCCCTTGAGGGCTATTCTAAGATTCACTAAGTCCTGAGGTTCATAGTGAAGTTCGAGTTTAAGCCTGAGATTATCTCAGAATACACAAAATTTCAGACTTCAAAAGGAAGATAGAAATCAGAGATTTTTTTAACAATACTGTACCAGGATTTTTCCTATATCATTTGGGCAGTTTACATACATAAATTTCACATGGACAAACATTCACCACACCACATTATATATTCCATACAAATACTTATTTCGTGCGGGATTCGATTCGAACCCGCGGCCCTCAGCGCTGCATCTCATTGCTAAGCCACTCTGCCACGTATCCGTTAAATAATAGTACTACGTACCGAAATCATGTTAAGCTTCTTGATACCTTTATCACCTATTAAGAATCACAATGCGGATGTGTTGTCACCCCCGAGGGCTGAGATGGAATGCATCGTTACCAGTAAAAAGGATCTCAGGTTTTTAAACTCAACATACGAAAGACAGCAGAATTATGCTGCTATTTAACGTTGTCTGTTCTCTGGTCGAGCATAGCTATTAATGCCGCAGCAATAATACAGCTGCAACATGGTTCTATCACGTATATAAGAGAGAATAGATACATAAACACACACGCCTGTCACCCAGAGGGGTAGGCAGAGACTACAGACTTCCATTTGGCACGATCCTGACATACCTCTCTCGCCTCCTTCACATCCATATATCTACGCATACATGCTCGTCGGTTAAGGGTACTCCTAATTTGTTCAATAAATCACCAATCTGGTTGATAAATTTTCGCCTAGGACGTCCCTTTCCGACTCTGCCATTCAATTCTGCAACATAAATTTTCTTTGTCACTCTTTCCAAATTAATTCTTTCCACATGACCAAACCACCGAAGCATTCCTTTCTTAATCTCGGTCACAACATCATCTTGCAAACCACACTCTTCTCTCTTCTTCAGAGAATAGAGTATATATATTATAGTATAGTAATCTAAATAATGTGAAGAAATTACTTCAGCCGCTGTCGGCACTTCCTTCATTAACTCCACGAGTTGTTTCTGGGCCAGGTAGTTCAGACAGTCCAACTCCGTTTGCTGGGCGCGCTCGTCGCGAAGCTCCAACTCTTTCGCCTCGTACTCAACAATGGACTTGCGCGTGCCGCTCTTGGTTTGGGAGTCTCGAAGAGCGTGCATGCCTTTCCTTGCCAGCTATAATGAAACCAACAAAGTCAGGAAGCCGAAAGCTTAATGAAAGCTCAAATTTAATTTGTTCTAGTCCAGTATTAAGGTCTCGTTTATATCTACAGACACAGTGCGTTACAGACAAGTGTCGTGGCAGACACCCACAGACACCGTTTATTTACATCTAGCGTGCCATAAGTGTGGCGTGTCAGACATCGACAGACACCGTCGTGGACGTCAGACGCAACCGCTCTCACTAGCAGTTATTGAATAATGAATAGCTTTAGTAGGAAAAGCACGTTTATTTTTGGAGAAAAGAGAAAAATTGCATTGTAGCGAAATAAAGTGAATCAGTGTGGTTAATTATTAGTGTTCTAAGTTTTAATTAGTGTAAAGTGAATTAAAGAGTTAATTTTGGTAATTCAATCGGCAGTTTTTATTGTCACGAACCTCAAGCTCGTAACAGTATTTATATTCTTTTACAATTTCTATAATCTGTTCGTTATCCATAGCAAAAAACACGTTAGCACGGTCCCGATACTCTATTCACACTGCCCGGCAGGTAGCCACAGACACGTACAGACATGAACCGCGCAGACAAAATATTCTTTCCGCGAATACTGGCCGGGCACGGCCTGTGTCTGTCGGCGTCTGCGCGGCCGTGTCACGATAGATATAAATACGTTAATAAACACTGTATAGAAGAATATTATTTGGTCTGCCACGGCACGTGTCTGGCACGCTCAATGTCTGTAGATATAAACGTACCTTTACTCGTATAACTCAGAACATGCAGAATGTGTAGGTATATAAGTAATTTATTCATCCCGGGTTCTAATACCCTCGGGTCTAGTCCGAAACCAGTTGTTGGGTTTATTCTGTATAGAAATTCTCAGTAGCTGCCCGGAGTCAGGAAGTTGGCGGTGTCTCACCCCCGTGCCTCGGAAAGCACGTAAAGCCGTTGGTACTGCGCCTGATCTCTCTCTGGACTTGTCGGGTTACCGTCCCATCGGACTACACAATAATTGAAATCCAAGTGCCCGTCTGTCATATCGAACTGCCTTCTATTGAGTTCCAGAGGTTATTTGCATGCTGTTAAGACATAAATAATAATTTTTGAAGTTTGTCTGTCTGTGTGTCAGGGGAAACCTTTGGAATAGGTAAGCTGGTAGTGATGAAACTTCACGAACAGATAGAGAGCAATGTCAGGAGTGATCTAGACTATAGTTCGTACCAAATCGATTGAGAAAAAGTGTCAAAAGGCGTAATTTACAAAATCTCAATTTAGATATGATAACAGTATTTAAATATTGATATTATTCACACTTCTAGGTTAGCACATATGTTTTGTTTTTTTGTTTCTTAAATAATATTATCTGTAGTTCCCATAAACATCGTAAAATCTTATTGTACATCGCAAAAAATGGGTTATATTTTATATTTCAATTTATGTTAAGTAACGCAACAATTTATTTAATAACTGTTTCATACTAAAACAAAAATATTTGAAGCAAATAATGTCACCACATTGAGCTTTTGCAAATTAATCACTTTAAAATAAACAAAACGCGCGTTACGTCAGTTCGTTATATAAGAAACGTGACAATGGCAGCCAGAGATGCGCCACTTTTTTGGGCCGGTCCGCATGCACTGAATAAAAATAAAGTTAACATTAATTAAAAATAAAGTTTTATATTTTGACGTACTTATTCGGTGTCGTTATCACTCGAATCTTTATATGTGTTATAAATGAATGCTTTTTGTTGTTAAATGAATAAAGTACTTTATAACAATAGATGATTTTTCTTCTACAGCGATCTTTTACGTAACTTTTTAATAATAGTTAATAAGTATATATTATATCAATCGTTATAAAAAATAGTAAAAAAATCATTTTAAATAAAGAAAGTACTACATATAAAAAGTGCCTATATATTGAAGGTTTGTAGCTCCTGGATAAAAGACCGAAAGGTCAATGTCCGTTTTTCTCAATCGATTTGGCACGAACTATATATCATTATATTCGAAAATTTGGAAGTGTTTTTTGTAATACCGAAAAATTAAGAAAACAAATGTTCTTTGATGACTATGTTATTATATATATATATATATATATATATATATATATATATATATATATTAGATGCAGACAAAGCTGGGGTGGGTCGCTAGTACCTAATATGACGGCGAACAAAACTTACTATGCTTAGGCCCGGTTTACATTTTGAGAAGTGACAAGTACGAGTGGCAGTGCCATCGAGAAATGACAGGTGCTTAGTGCGTGTGAACAGCCCGTGACAAGAGATAAGTGTAAATAGAATACGCACTAAGCACTTGTCATTTGTCGATGGCACTTGCCACTCGTACTTGTCACTTCTCAAAATGTAAACCGGGCCTTTCTCAAATCGCCTAATGTGTTTGTTGTTACAACGAGCAGGTTTCTATACGTTATAAGTTAAAATATTCTAGACAATTCTATGACATTTAATCTCATTTAATAGGTGTATTTTTAAAGTGCACGTTTACCCTTGAAGATTTATTTTGAAAGTATAATAAAGTTACCACCTATACAATCTGGGAGGGCTGGGCACAGGCCTGCCCTCATTTCTGAGAGGGTTTTAGGGAAAGGAAGTGTCCACCGCGCTGCCCCAATGCGTGATGACGGACTTCACGTGTCTTTAAAATATTTTTTTTTCTTATTCCTCAGTCATGCAGGTTTCCTCACGATGTTTTCCTTCACCGCTGAGAACGTGGTAAATCAGTACTTAAAAATTGCAATTAACAATTTCATTGGTGCCGGCAGGGATCAAAGCCGGGTTACTCGCGTACTGTGATATTTATAGCGAGCGCTAAAAATTTGAGCTACCACGGCTCATAATGATTTATTTATTTTAATATCGAAATATTGAAATATAATTAAATAATTAAAATTAATTGATCTCCGAAAGCTTCCTTATCTTCGGCGTGCTAAATGGTAAGAAACACTTCCGCAACGTAAACTTAAAATTTGCTCTTAAAAAAAATTATCAATATTTGAAGAGTATACTAACATTTATGCATAGCAGCGTCTCCTGTAACTCCTTGGCAAGGATGCCAAGCTGCTTCTCTTGGGGTGCCAGTTGAGGTATACCGCCGGCGCGTTTTTCCACACTACATAGCGGCGCAAGCTTTTTAAACTAAACAATTAAAAAATATTAACGACCATGAAGTAAGCAAAATATAATTTATGAGTAGCAGTCCACTTTTCACTGACCGCATTGAGACTTTTACTTTTTGTTGTTACGACTTACGAGCACACAGTCCACCTGATGGTAAGTGGATTCTGTGGCCCATAGACATCTACATTTATCCTCGATTAAGAATCAGATGCGTTGTCACCCTTAACACAGTCTATAAATTTTATTATACTGTGCCCCTGAGTACTAAGATGTAATGCCTCGTTTGCAGTAAAATAGGGTCTCCGGATCTATGCACTCGTCATACGAAACACAGCAGTATTAGGCTGGTATTCTGTGAAAGCGTGGTCCTTCCCCAATTCAATATAGCTGCAGTGGCTCTAACACGTATAAAATTGTTGTCTATTATTACTGTATGTGTGTGGGTACCAAACCATATTTTTACATCTCTATGGTTATTAGTGTTCCTTCGAAGTCCTATGCTAGCCTGGTACTAATAGGTCCCATATTTCTGTGGGACTTCTATCAGAAAAGAACGTTCCAAGTGTGTTTTTGGCCTAGCGAGTGGAATATTGGGTTTGTGATTGTGTAGGCAATGGACAAGCAACCTGTTTCTGATTTCACAATTCTCCATCTAAACCCATGTCATAGCTTAAGGCGTTACTCCTAAAGAACGACCTTGAGCGTTAGGATTATGGAACGGAGAGGGAGGTATTAAGTCCTACAATTCCAGCTTACAACTCTCCAAAAATCACCGAAATGATCACTGGTTCTAAGCAAATTGATGTCATCAATAAGCCTTTAATATAGTACTCGTTTTTTTATTAAATTCAAAGCCGCCAAGCGGCATTTGTCAGCGCCGGCCCATATATGGCAGTAATACTCCATCCACGACCGGTTGCTATAGTGTAAGAAGCTGTCCCGGCTTGAAGTATCTCCGTACTTTTACAAGGACACCTTACTTGCAGCCGCTTTGGTCTTAAACTTAATGAACTGCACAAAGATGGTCATCATTCTTAATTTTTTTATAGAATAAGGGTGACAAACAAGCACACAGTCTACCTGATGGTAAGTGGATGCTGTGGCCCATAAATATCTTCATCTATCCTCGATTAAGAATCAAAATGCAGATGCGTTGTCACCCCTGAGGACCAAGATGGAATGCCTCGTTTTCAGTAAAAAGTGTCTCCGGTTCTCTACACTCACAATACGAAACGCAGCAGTATTTTGTAACATGCTATTTTGCGCTGGTATTCTGTGGAAGCGTGGACCGACCAACACGTGCTACAACCATTATATAGCTGCAGCGGTGCTCTATGTAAACTATTATTAATTACACATTATGTTAGCAGCGTAAGTACTTATTGTAATCTATTTTTAAAATGCTGCAAACATAATTAAGTTGGTATATACGTTAGGTTCGGGGCTGAAATCTGTCACAAATTTTATTAAAAAATGCTGAGGCTGCCAAACAATTCGTCGGTTCTGCAACCATTTGAATTCTCTTTTTTTTTTTTTTTTTTTTTTTTTTTTTTTTTATAGAAGAGGGGGCAAACGAGCATGTGGCTCACCTGATGTTAAGTGACTACCGCCGCCCATGATCAACCGCAACACCAGGGGAATTGCAGGTGCGTTGCCGGCCCTTTAGAAAGGAGTAAGCTCTTTTCTTGAAGGTCCCCAGGTCGTATCGGTCCGGAAAAATCACCGGTGGTAAATTATTCCACAGAGAGTTCAGTTGGGGAACCACGACTAAAGATCGAATAACGTAACTGTCCAGACAAATTTAATAACATAAATGAACTATACCATTCGTTGAACGTTACTAAGCTCAGCTTCGGGATCAACCGTCTTCTGCTCGATTTGTGCCGGCATCTTTTAAAATGTTAGTTTTATCCTCTAACACAAATATAAATAAATTAGTGAAAAGTGAAATGTTTATACGTCAAACGTAATTCTTCTGTCGTTCTAATGTTACTTTAAGTCAGTGTCAGTTTGGATTAATTACACGAAGAGAACTTTTTGTTGCAAAAATTTACCTCTTTCTATTATTATGCTGTTTTAGTTAATAAAAATGTACACGAGTAAAATAATCGTGTTACGTAAACGTGGAGGCCAGTTGCCTCGGTGTTCCTCCATACTTGTGGCACAATATCTCCTGCACAGTTGATAGATTCCAATTAACAATCGAAAATTGGTAACACGAGACACTGGTACCGTTACAGCCTATTAGTCGTAAGGGTATGCAATACCGGGATACCTGATCCCGAAATATGGATCCCATGCATTTTGCGGGACTAATTGTACGAAAATATTACGGAATCCCGCTGGATTGGCGGAATTACAGAGAAGCATGGTCCATAGCCGAGCCGAGCCGTGGTAGCTCGGATGGTTAGCGCTCGCTGTAAATTTCACAGTACGCGGAGCAAACCGGGTTTGATCCCCGCCGGCACCAATGAAATTGTTAATTGTGATTTTAAGTGCTGATTTACCACGTGCTCGTCGGTGAAGGGAAACATCGTGAGGAAACCTGCATGTCTGAGGAATAAGAAAAAAATATATTTCGAAGACATGTGAAGTCCGCCAAGACGTATTGGGGCAGCGCGGCGGACTATTCCTTGCCCTAAAACCCTCTCAGAAATGAGAGGAGGCCTGTGCCCAGCAGTGGGACGTATATAGGCTGTAACTTTACTTTACTTATGGTCCATACGTGTTAATGTTCGCGCGGCGGCGCGTAAACTAAGCTAAGCGATGCGTGGTGCAGAAGAAGCACGAAATCACTGACCATTTTCCAAGTGCAAACAGTTCTGTAGAAACGAGGGTATCACGCATGGTGTCAAAAGATGGTTTTTCATTCCGGGTTTTCTACACCTCGTCGGATTTACGAGACCTTTTTAAAGCCGGGGGGCTATAAGTTACCAAAATCGCCTAATTCTATCAAATTAATGGTTATGCATTTCGGCACGACTGTAAAAATTACCATTATTCGAGATCCTCTAAAGCTGAAAGAGAGCAACCACAGATTCACCCTCACATTCGACGAATGGACTTCAACGAGCAATAGGCGCTATTTAAACGTTAATGTTCACGCCTTGGCTAATGAAAAATCTATTTTTTGGAACTTAGGGCTGGTGCGGATTTACGGAAGTCTACCTGCAGAAACATGTATCACTGTTTTAAAAGAAAAAATATCATAAGACGAGCTATCTTTGGATAAGGATGTAATCTGTATTACCACAGATGGTGCTAAAGTCATGGTAAAAGTTGGGAAACTCATCAAACCCCATCAACAACTCTGTTATGCACATGGCATCCAATTGGCTGTTTTGGATGTTATTTATAAACAAAATACTTCTTCACGTAGTGGCCACGAAGCATCAAATGAAGAAATGTCAGTGCGAAATGAGACAGTTAGTGAAAGAGCTGATGAGAATTGTGACAATGACTTGGAAAATGACATTTTTGATTTGTCTTTTCCTACACATACAAGTGAAATAAAACTGACTGTGGAATATGCAGAAGTTGTTAAGAAGGTACGAAAAGTAGTAAAACTATTTAAAAATACACCTACTAAAAACGATCTGCCGCAGACGTATATGACAAAAGACATGGGAAAAAATATTGCTTTATTATTGGATTGTCAAACAAGGTGGTTAAGCCTGTGCGAAATGATAACAATATTCAACAAAATAAGATCGTGCGTATCGAAAACCCTGATTGACTTAGGTCTTGGTGCAAATCATGACTATGTTTTCACTGAACAGGAATATGATGTGCTAATGGATCTAGAACGAATATTACAGCCGGTAAAATTAGCAGTCGAAGTTTTGTGTAGACGTGAGTCTAATTTGATTACTGCGGAAACTACTTTGAGATTTATTATTAGCAAACTGATAAATATTAATAAACCGTTAGCCCGAAAACTTGTTGATTCGTTGAGGAAACGGATTTCAGAGCGGCGAACTCACTTGACCGCGGTTTTATTATACTTACATGATCCACAAAAGTACGAAGAAGACAAAAGTCAATTTATTTATGATGAAACATTCAATCTACCTCCAAAGAGTGTAATACGCAAGGCCATCAAAAATATAGTAGAAAGGCTAGAGTACACAGGAAGCAATGCAATAACCACTACTCCTGTTGATGATCCTTATGACGGCATCCCTCTCTTAATCTCGAGACGCAAACGGCAGCCGCAGCACCAATGTCACTTGAAAACGAACTCGAACTGACTTTGACTAGTATCAAAAGTCCTGGCTCAACAGCCCAGTCACCTAGGTCTGGAAGTATGAGTAACCTTAAGGTTTTGATAAAGAAGGAAATGAACTATTTCGAGTCGGGTGGATTAAAAGGCACTTACCTTCAGTTTGCCTATAACGCACTTATGACTATTGTACCAACCAGCGTGGAAGCTGAGCGGGCTTTTTCAGCTGCTGGCTACCTTGTGTGCAATATCAGAAGCTGTTTAGCAGATGACACAATTAATACTTTAACTTTTTTAAGAAGCTACTTCCAAAATAATGTTTAATTATCACTGCAATTTATGTCATCATCTGTATGTCTAAAGTAATAAATAAACCATTTAAAATATACCAAAAGGCTTGTTTTATTTGGCTTCAAATTAAAACCATGGAAACGAAGTCTTTAATTTAGTTTTCAGAGGTCTAGTTCCACCCTGCTGGATCCATCAAATACCTGGATCCAGCGGGAGTAAGATGGTTCAATCCAGCAAATACCTGGATTGAAATTATCTTGCGGAATTGCATTCCCTAGTCGTAACATAGGCATGCATGCCGTTGTAGCTCAGATGGTTAACGCTCGTTGTAAATATAACAGAACGCTAGTAACCCGGATTCGATCCCCGCTGGCACCAATGGAATCGTTAATTGCGATTTTAAGTGCTAATTTACCACGTTCTCGGCGGTGAAGAAAAACCATCGTGAGGAAACCTGCATGTCTGAGGAATAAGAAGAAAACATATTTCGAAGACATGTGAAGTTCGCCAACACGCATTGGGGCAGCGCGGCGGACACTTACTTGCCCTAAAACCCTCTCATAAATGAGGGGAGGCCTATGCCCAGCAGTGGGACCTATATAGGCTGTAACTTTACTTTACTTTTAGGCATGCATGCATGCATAACATGAACATAGACCTCCCTCATAGATTGCCTCATAGCGGAGACATTTGCCACAGTTGCCACACTCGGTAAGCGGGTTTGCAAACGCAGTTCATTTTATTTTTAGTCGTCATCAGGAAGACGCTGCTGCCCTTCTCCTGATTTGTTTCACTCTGTCAATTTTTACAACACGGGATGATATGGGGTAGTGGATATTTCACACCGCCACTACATCATCACATGAGACACAACTATATCAAAACATCAAATAACTCATCCTTGGCAGTCGGGTAAATAATCGAAAAACAATAAATAGGTATCTTTTATTACTGCTTTTAAATCATGCAAATACGTTTATTTATACATTTTGAATGGTTAAAGGATTTGTTTTTCGTAGAATATTTTAATTATATACCTAATTGTGTTTTTTTTTTTTATTATTTTTTTTTTTTTCTTCTTTTTTAAAATTAATAAAAAATTCGGGTAAAAAAAAAAACTTCAAAGGACAGAACTCTTTGAAAAACCTTCAAATGCCTCTATAATTATACAAATAAACGCTGGAGATGATTTTCATTAATAATATGAGGGCGCATTATCTTTTTATCAATGCTAACCATTTACTTGTAGTTAAGTTTAAAATCATCAACATTTTTTTAAAATTAATATCTAATAAGTGTACGACATAGTTACGCCGGCCTCTTTTGACCTTGGGTTTGCATTTAATTTTATTGAGCACTGGAACTCATGCAGATAAGATCGTGGTAGACCTACGTTTCAGCTTTACATAGTTGCGGCAGGGCTCGGCCGAGGCCTAATCAGACTCTCACAGAATATCAACGTTAAACAGTAGAATAATGCTGCTGTGTTTCGTATGTTGGATGTAGAGGATCGGAGACCCTTTTTACTGGTAACGAGTTATTCCATTTTATACTTTAACGACACATCTGTATTTTGATCGCTTCTCACTTTGATCGAAATTTTAATCGTTTGTGGGTGTATATGTCTATGGGCCATATATCTAATTACCACCAGATTGACTTCGTTTTTCACCATTATTAATACGTAAGTACATAAACACTCACGTCGTCACCCAGAGGGGTAGGCAGAGACTACAGAATTCCATTTAGCACGATCCTGACATACCTTTTACGTCTCCTCTACATCCATATACCTACGCATACATGCTCGTCGTTCAAGGGTACTCTTAATTTGGCCCATTTTCAATATATCGTCAATTTGGTCGATATACTTTCGCTTAGGACGTTCCTTTCACCATTATTATATTAAAAATGCAGATAGTAGGATTTCCCCAATTTCTCTATTTAAATTTGGATTTTTAATAGCTCTATATATCAGCGATAGGAATCGTAGTTCATTTGATAGAGTTTCCGGTCTATTCAATCTGACATAATAGCGGTGGTGATCCTGAAAATTAAGTAGAGTAGAATATAATTCTATAATCTAGTAGATGATATAGAATTTAAAATACCTAGGTTTAACCATAATACAATAAAAGACGAGTTTAAAATTGATGATTTATTTATTATCTTCACAAAACGTAAGTACAGAACTAGTCGAGACCTAAAATTAAAATTACAATGTTTAAGTACTCATGAGAGGTGCTTATTTTTCTTATTTAATTAAAAAGTGGTTAATTAATAACGATAAAACGTCCAGGATCGATTATATTACAACGGTAAATATATTTCTTTTAATAATTATAAAATCTGAAAATGTTCTTTTAATGCATATATTTTACATTTAAGTGTGAGGCGACAATAACTTTTATAAATTATTATGGTAAGTTTTGCTGTTCGGGAAATTTGACACAAGTTTGCAAAATACAATAATTGGCATAGTAATAAACCATACCCTGGTGGTTAGCGGTTAAAGTAGTTTGGAATGATTATAAAGTAATACTCACTCATACATAGAACTTAACGTTTGTGCTAATAAAAATTACAAGCATAATTATTAATTTTAAAAATGTCGCTATTTATATAAAAAAATACAATATAATATATTACTTTTATTGGCCTTCATATTGCTTTTTATAGTTGGGATAATAGGACATTTAATTGTAAATCATTTTAAAATTCAATTATAAATTCAGTCTTAAAATAAATAATTACAATAGTGTTTAAATTAATTCTATTAACTCATCGGGTATATAAAAAATGTACAACCATAAAGATTTAATTTTTATTATTATGCCGGTCACGCACACATGTGTAAAAAGTTTCGAGCACATGAAGGTTAAATCCCACACATTTTGTATAATTTGAACGTGGTAGAGTCAAGCTGCATTTTTTTAAACGTGATAGAGCCACCCTGTAGCTATATGTTCGTTGCAATACAAATGGGTCGGTGCGACTGAAGCTCTTAAAGAATATCAGCGTGAAATTGTATGGTAAAGGTAGAGAACGGGCTATTGGATTGGACTCTTAATTGACGATAAATGTTCTCTAAAAATAGGTGATCTGTGTGCTCGATTGCAACTCTTATTTTATAAAAAATACTCACAAACGCATATGAATATAGGTTTTTGCTTGTAACCCTCTGCAGTGCGTATTTTACAACTCTAATTTAATATTTGGTTGCTATATTTAAAGATGATTTTTGCAGGAGCACCATAAACATATATACGCGAATAGGGTTACTTATTCATAGCATTACATATGATTGACGAAGTGTTTGTCAAAAAACCGAAAGGTACAGATCGGTAAATTGTAAATATTAGTAAAATTGTGCAAAATAAAATTATACAAATTAGTAGCTTTCTACATTTGGGTGGCCGACATTACAAAAATTTTTACAGACAGAAAAATAACAGCGTTATAAACAAAGAGGTGTGAGAAAGATAAAGCAAACATTTTAACTATATCTCTTTCCTGTTTCTAGAATCGTGTTTGCTCATGTAAATTATCGTAATAGAGAATCTAATAAAACATGCTCAATTCTCGAAGGCGAACACTCAAAGCATTTTATTATGTATATAATGTATGTATTAGAATTACACAAATAAGAAAATGAAATAAGTAAGATTTCGCATATCGAAACATTTTATAGACATAAATGACAGAATCGTATCTGTTTAATTTACACGTGTAATAATATATCGTGGCATCAATTGTATTTAAAGCACTAAAATTTATTTCATTATCATCTAATATTTTGACAAAATTATAAAATGGAATTTCAGAACGGTTAAAAGATACAATATAAGGGGCATTGCCAACATACATTTTTGCTAAAACAAAAACAGAGCAATCATTATAATCCCCATAATTGCGAATTTTTATAGTCTGTAATTCCAATAAAAAAAAAATTGTATAGAAAATTGGTTATTTGTTATTTGATATAATCTCCTTTACATGTTTTCTCAGAGCTATGTTACTTTGTAAATTTACTTATCAATTTAGAAATATTTGTTTTTAATAAAATAGGTATTTTTCAGAGATATTGGTCCAATTTCCACTAAATTGCGGTATTATTAAGTATTTGAGTATTTGAGGCCAGTAAGGTACAAGTTTAAGAATCCGTGTTTGATAATTAAGATATTTATTTGAGCAACTCAGTAATAAAATGTAACTTAGGTATGTACGAAATTGAAAAGTATAGAAATAGAGTTGGACGTGTTAATAACACGACGTGAAGCAAATATTTTATCGTCGCGCGTCTATTAACTATGTATGTTCCTGTTTCATAAGATGTTATCATCTAGTTTTTCTGTTTTATGCATCGATACTTTGTTTGTGTCACGTTGGAACGATTTTCGACGATATTTTAGTTATGCTTACGGTATCTTATATATATATATATATATATATATATATATATATATATATATATATATATATTGTTTAATAATATAATTATAATATTGTTTTAACCTGATGTAGATAAAATTGACTGAAGTGAAAACAAGGCACTCTTTGAAGGCCGATTGCGGTATTATAATCTAGATTTTAATATATTGCTATGAAAATTAATATTTCCACATTAAAGCGCGGTCATTTTTTAATTGCTTTACTGCTATGCAGTATTAATATATTTTATAACTAGTTTTTACCGCGACTTCGTCTGATTAGAACTTAAAAAAAATATTACTGCAGAACTTTAACATCTTCCATGTCTTTTTGATAAAATATAGCCATTCCGAAAATTAGCCTGAAGAGACCGACAGACAAAATTTTATACATTTTATAAGTTTAATAGAAGGTACTTATTTCATTATTACAAACAGAGACTTCAATTTTATTTATCTTTTCTTTTTTAAATAAAATGTCTGACTAATGTTAAAACATAACCTATACTAATCTCATTCCCGTTCTGTTAAAAATATATGTTATACGATAAACGTAGGTTTTCCAACTACAGGTAAAAGTATTAGGTAATTAATAAACTTAAAGTGCACAGCCTAGAGAATATATAAAGCAATAATGCTATAGCAGTCATTATTGTCACGCTTTAATGTGTAAATTATTTAAATATTTTTCTAGCGCTTTTTAAGGCACAATACAAATTACCTATTACTTTAAAAATAAAAATAAAAACTAAATTATAAATGTAAGTACCTATGTGTTTTGCGAAATTTATACGATTAGTGTTAACGTTGAATGGTGTTAGAACTATCAAATCTGTTCTATATATACGTAAAATCGTAACAGATCGCTTTAATCCATTTTTTTATTTTAGTGGTAAATAATATGGCTATTTTAAATATTAACATTTATGGTACTATTAACTTAAATCTAGTATCATTTTTAATGTGCACCAAAGTTTTTACGTGAAACGAGTACGCGTTAGAACTAACATGTATAATCTCATTTAAGGAATACGATGTTATGTACATTGCGGCTTAGTTAACAGTTGAGTTAGTTTTGTACGGATCGATTGCGAAATGAATGTCGATAATTAATGCAGTTGTGAAACATGGCGATTTAGTAAAAGTTAGTATTTCTATTAGTTATTACTTCTTCATGTCGTTCCTTTAAAGATTCGTTCGAATAAACAAAAAATTCTCTTGGATTTAATTATCTATATCATGATATCTGTTGTACCATTCGCCTTAACAGATCCGACAATTTATGTGCATTTTGTAAATATATGTTTCTATCAAAGATGCCTAAATCTACACAACGGCCGAGATCGATTTTGGGTGTGTTCCGATATACAATGTGACCACTGTAAGGTGTGACGTTAATTAATTACCCTGTGAAGTCGTTCCTTTTTAGTTTGGTATACTGGTTACTGTTTAAAACGGAACGCAGTATAGTGTATATTATTATATATATATATTTATATATTTTTTTTTATGAAAAATGAAAATAGTTATCATGTACACGTTTCTGTTCAACAAGAAAAATTATTATTTGAATGTTGTTGCTTTTAAAATTCAATATCCGAGTTTATTCGAATAAAATTATTAATTAATAATAATAACAGTCATTCGTGGAAGCTGTTAAATCTCTAGGTCTTTGCTGTTATGTTTTTGATCACGTGATCAAAGTACTGAGAGCACACAGTACAACTCACAGTAGAAAATGGCGGCGATTTATGACTCTTTCCCTAGGGTACTGAGGCAGTATACTGGTAGTCCATAACGGAACGATTTTTTCACCAATGAGACCACTCAGCAGTGCTCGCAGTGTATATCTCAGAACACGACCTTTATCTCGTCTTAAGTGTAAAAATCGTGCGCACACTAATAGTCTAACATTCTACGATAACTCCAGTAAAACGTTAAAAATTATATTTAATGTTACAATAAAAGTTTTAATTAAGACACTAACTATCACTGCTAATGTGTATACATCAAACGGTTTACCGAATAAAATCAAAAAGTATCCTACACACGCGGCAAAACTGAATGCGTCAAGTTGTAACAAAATGGTGGACGTAAGCAAGATGGATGCCACGTCATTTTTATAAAAACACACGGAGGTAAGTGTAATTACAGCGGGGTAAACGATTGGGTCGTATTGTTTTATTAAATGTAGGTACAATATTATTGTTACTGTTATGTGGTCTATGGCTTCATAGATTAGGCGCACCAAGAGTTGGGTACAGCAGATCACCGCTGAAAAAATCCGAGGAGCCTTGAAGTTCGGGTTGGTGCGGGCGCCTCGGGGAGTTTCCTTCGCTTCTCTTGCGTCGTCAGTTTGTGCTTCATTTGCTCATCGATCAGCTCTTGCATATCCATCTGTAATAATTGTAAAAATACAGCTTTAGAATAAGTTAAACATAAGAAGAGTACGAGTAACTATTAAATTATAATGGCAAAGTTATGATGAGTTCCTGTTGCTAATTTAAATATACTTGATGGCAAGATTACATCCTATTTTCAAATGAAAATTTCTTGTATTATATGTATAATATACATATGTAATTGGTTTCTCAGAACGATTTCTCCAAGGTAACTAGTTGACAAAGTCAAGGTTGTTATTTATGTTTTTTTATAGAATAGGGATAAACGAGCACACAGTCCACCCGATGGTAAGTGGATGCTGTGGCCCACAGACATCTACGTTTAACCTCGATTCAGAATCAAAATGCTCTTCTCAAAGTTCAAAATGCGGTCCTCTATACTCACCATACGAAACACAGCAGCATTAAGCTGCTATTTCACGCCAGTACTCCGCGGGAGCGTGGTCCGTCCCCGGTCGAGCCGATCCATCCGTGCTGCAACCATAATATAGCAGCAGCGTGGCTCTACCACGTGTAAAAGTAGTTTTGTTTTCGTTATTAAACGTTACGTTTTTTTTAACGTACCTAGTACGTATACTAATACGTGTTAACCACCACCACCACCATCATAGCGTAGCCGTTACAAAAAAAAACAACCGAAACAGAAGACGAGAAGCAACATCGTCCTATTAACAACCGAAAACAATAATAAAAGAACCAGTGCATGTTGCCGGTGGTGACTTATTGAGCTGCGACGTGGTGCTCCACCGCTATGAGGACGCTCAAGGTCGCTCAGCGAGCTATGGAGAGGTCTATGCTCGGAGTTTCTCTGCGTGATAAGCTTAGAAATGAGGATATACGCAGTAGAACCAGATTGACCGACATAGCCTAATGCATTAGTAAGTTGAAGTAACAATGGGCCGACCATATAGCTTGAAGAGCCTATAACCAATGGGGCAAAAAGATTCTCGAGTGGCAGCCTCGTACCGGTAGGTGAAGTGTAGGGCGACCCCCCACTAGATGGAGTGACGACCTGGTAAAACATGCAGGAAGTCGATGGATGCAGGTGGCTCAGGACCGTGCTTTGTTCCGTTGGTGTGTTCTTTGGGGGAGGCCTATGTTTAGCAGTGGATTTGTGAGGGGCTGTAATGATGATGATGATACCTTCCAAATCTAAATCTAAATCTAAGAGATCTGTGATTGGAAATGCAGTTTTAATAGGCTGTAATGAACAAATGAACAAGAGAAACGTCTTAAACAACCTTATACATCTTCCTCATTGACAACATGATTTGGGTTAGATTTTGAAAAAGATATTTTACAATCAATCGGATGGCTCGATACTTTCCTGTAATTCTTTATAAGAGATAGAGTGAGCAAGAGTTACATACCTGCCACTGCTCGAGCTGTTGCCCAAGGTCCACCTTCTGACGCACAGCTTCATACAGCTGGCTGTTGGCCTGCATTAGTTCAACCCGCGTCTTCGCCAAAGCGACCTGAAATAAAATACAGATACACCTTCAATATTTCAAAACTCATATTATTATAACAGTAATTATATTAGAACAAAAAGAAAGAAATGGATCACCAGAAGGCAGTTTGTATATCAGAAACATTTAAATCAATATTAGTTTTAATGTAACGGGTAGCAGCAACGACTTTCTTTTACAGGTCTAATTAACCGACTCCAAAAAGGAGGCCGTATTCAACTCGACTGTAGTTTTTTATGTATGTTACCTCAGATAAATTTTCTGGGTGAACCGATTTTAATTACTCATTGGTAATTGGAAGGTGGTACTTTTCGTGTGGTTCCATATAAATTTCATAAGGATCTGACCAGAAGTAAGTAGTAAGTTTCAAATTATCCTTTAAAAAATGTGTATTTAATTGACTTCGTATACAATGGTTCGTTTGTATTGAAGTCGGTTGTACAAAATTTTTAATTTTACCAATTGTTTTAGTAATGTCCAAATATTTGGAATGGAATGTAATTTTTAATTAAAGCATCGAGCAAGAACTTTTAAGTCTGAGTCTAAGAGATCCAGTTTATATATCGGAGTTCATATAAATTATATAATATATATTATATAATTTATATGAACTCCGCCAACAAACAGTCTCCTCCCTTTTCCGAAATCCGCTCAGTAGATAATAAGAAAAGGTCTGGTGCAGTATTGGGTCAGCTGCTAATTAAATTTTTTATTTTTTTTATAGTTATTTGACCTCTAATCATTGACTTATATATTACTAGCGTACTCTAATTTACTTATTTTTGTATTAATATTTGACTTATGCGTTTGAAATAAACTGTTTGATACGTCGCGTCGCGTCGTTCGTAATGCTTAGGCACAGCAATGGAATTGAATATTTTGCTGTCTCTCCATCCGATTACAATGTTGCTTTTAAAGTAAGAGTGAATAGACTTTTGTTAATCTAAGTCAGTGCGCTTAACCATCTTCGGCTGAATCACCACTTACTGGTGAGAAATTAGTCAGGCATTGGATCATAATAGTTGCAAAAACTTGGCTACTTAATGTCATTTAGAAAAGGACGTGGTTAAAAGTAGGAACCAACCTATTTGCACGTTTTGAAATAAAGTGAAATGAATCTCGATAGTTTTTTTGGTCAAATACGAGAAATATGTAGCACAAACCTCGGCGGCCTTCTTCCTCTCGATGGCCTCGTCTCTTTCTTGGCGTGCGCGGGTTACAGCCTCGTCGTTTTGAAGACTGTTGTAGTTGGCGTCGTTGAGCAACTTGTCGCGCTCTTCTGCCGCTGCGCGCAGCTCTACTTCTGCCACTGATAACTAGAAGGAGAAGAGAGGAGAGGTCAGCTAATGCAACAGGATATTCATGTTGTTAATATATGTTGTTGATAATTAATATCTTATTATTCCATTCCGTGTGATGGCGGTGTCAGGAATAAAGATATCCACTAACTTAATAACGATTCGTGGGTGGAAGCGACAGAAGTAAACATACCAGGAGATAGGCAGCAACGTCTTTTTAATAACCACTAATAAATTAAAGAAACGCGGTTGCAAACCCGCCGCCAAGTATGGCAAGTATGACAAATATCTAAATATCTTTGAGACAAGAAGTTGGCGGTGTTTCAAACCCGTGTCTCGGAAAGCACGTAAAGTCGTTGGTCCTGCGCCTGATCTCTCTCCGGTCGTGTCGGAGACAAATATCCCTTCTTTGAGGCAAGAAGTAGGCGGTCTTTCAAACCCGTGTCTCGGAAAGCACGTAAAGCCGTTGGTCCTGCGCCTGATCTCTCCGGTCGTGTCGGTTTACCGTCTCATCGGATTATGAGAGTGAGGGAATAGAGAGTGCACCTGTGCTTGCACATACACTTGTGCACTATAATCCTGTCCTGCCCAGATGACTAGTCTCCGTTGAGACCTAAATTCGTTCTTCCAGAATTTATTATTCACTATGACATGTGGCTCGGAAAGACCTATGTTCAGCAGTAGACTTTGATAGACTGCGATAGTCAAGGTAACTACTATTTCGTTAGGTCGAGGTTTCAGCTAACTTGACTAGAATATAATTAATTCTATATAAATTATAATAATACTTATTGAAAGTAATTTATGTTTTTACCACTCTTTTGTAAGTCCTTGTTGTTGTTTTAAGAACCAGCAAGATACGAAGCTAAGACTTTTTAAATATTAATGTACAATACAAAATGTTGTACAATAAAATATTTTTTTTATTAAATTTACTATCAATCGTGTATTATTTTAAATATAAACAACTTTTGCTTCATATTTAACAATTATTGTCATCTCCCTGTCAGTCACTTAGATATTTACTTCGAGTAATTACATACATACGTAATATTTATGTATAAGAAAGCAATGATCCTATAGGACCTCTTTTTTCCTATAAGATCATTGGAAGAAAGAATCAGAAAACAGACGGATATAAGCTATTACGGTCGACTCTCACAATGTGCCTGTATCCACGCTTCCGTCGTTCGGAACAAATGTGAAAATAGGAGCATTATCGAACCACATCGCAGCTACATTCGCCGTGCTCTAAACTAAGCCATTGGAGGGCATTTAGAGTTCCGCGTCATGCACACACTACATAAAAGTTACTATTTTTTATTTAATAACTAAACGTTAGAGACGCAAAACTAAAAATCGACTTCAAACAAACAAATATACTTAATATAATCATCGAAATCAGTTGACTTGGTAAATAAATATTTGTATGTCGTACAAAAGCTTTTACATATTGAAAAGTGTGATGATTACCTCATGGATTTCATTCATCATTCATCACACCTTGACTAATTGTATATGGTATCACTCTTAAGGTACCTTCCTTCTAGAAGAATAATTGCCGTAGGACAACGTGGTAAAGAATCATCGTTGAATATTCACAATAAATATTCCGACGCATCGATAACCTCTTCATTTTTTGAAGTTGGCTTAAAAAATAATGTTGTGTAATAATAATAAACTATTAAACACTAATTTGAATATATCAATAAGATTAGGAATCTGTTATAAACTATTTATTTTGAAATACTATAAATTCTAGGAAAAGATAATATACATATAACAGAAACCAGTTGCTTAAATTCAGGTGTAACCTACATACATGAGTAAATGACCCTGATGAATAACTAAGCAAATTACAACATATCTTCACATTTTGAGATCTCTATAGGATCGGAATCGGAATCTACTATTTTAAACGGATGACTGTGTGTTATAGAATATAGTATTTTCGAGGCCTGTAAGAAATTAAATTTTGAAAATTTTTTTAGAAGCATTTTGGTTCCAAAATCGATCATACGAAAAAGCGACACTAAAAAGAGACAAACTATAGGACTTAGCCAGCGAGAGAAAGAGATAGAATACAGTTGTGGCATAGTAACATTATTTTATCTGTGGTTGTGGGTTCGAATCCGGCCATTCGACTACCGTCTTTTAAGTGTGAGTGTTACAGCGTTTCCTATTACACGGTCTCCTGTTTGTGCGGTGCTTAAAAGATGGTTGGTATAAATATTAGCTTTTAAAATAAACAATATATAGATTAACCAATTTATAAAAAAAAAATAAAATTAAGCATAATTAATAAAATTATCTTATTTCAAATTTTTATTTATTTAGTCTGTAACATTACACTAAATAATAATTAGACAAAATTTTATGCCGCACTTGTGGTTGAAAATGATAATTTTAAATGAATCATTTACCGTGAATTTTTTTATTTTATATTTAATTTTATTTGAAGGTTTCACTTCTACCGCGTGTGAACGGCAAACATTCGTTTTTTTTTTTAATAAAAGGGTGATAAACAAGCACACCTGATGGTAAATGGATGTTGTGGCCAAGACACCTACATATATCCTCGATTAAGAATTAAAATGTAAATGCGTTATCACCCTTCAACATCTTCAGTTCTCTTTATACGCAACAGAGTAGCACAAAACTGCTATTTTACACTGGTATTCTGTGATATTAACATATTACCACTAATCTAATCTAGTCGAAAATTACAAAACAATAAAAAAAAGAAAGTAGAGCATCGCGTGCCCAGCGCACATATAGTGAAAAAACCAAGACCGATGCGTGAGAACTAGCCTTAACGGGAGGTGTAGGTGATAGTTAGCGCATTCATAGTCGATGGCTAATCTTAGATCTTCTATTTTGTAGACCGTAATTACCTTGTTATGCCCCATACCATTATGATGGCAATTTACTACGACACTACTTACTGCGACAATATGTCGCATGTCGCAGTAAGATGGTTGAAGCTATGATATAATTATATCCCTAGGGATATAACTATATACCGCATTATAGTTATATGACAGCGGTTCATAACTGTCTTACTAGGAATATAACTACGATATTTTTTTATAGAATAAGGATGACAAACGAGCACACAGTCCACCTGATGGTAAGTGGATGCTGTGGCCCATAGAAATCTACATCTATCCTCGATTACGAATCAAAATGCAGATGCGTTGTCATCCGTGACGACTAAGATGGAATGCCTTTTCAGTAAAAAGGGCCTCCGATTCTTTACACTCACTATACGAAACACAGCAGCATTAAGCTACTATTTTACGCTGGTATTCTGTGAGAGCGTGGACCTTCCCCGGTCGAGCCCCCCATTCGTGCTACAACAATACTACCAATATAACTGCAGCACGGCTCTACCACGTATATAACTGCTAGAAATGTCAACAGGTCTAAACTTAGTTCTGGCATAACGCATACGAAATATGTTAAAACGCGCGTCAAAATTATTGGCCTTGTTTTTACAATGTAGCATGAATCTTAAAGTTTATATTTTGCAAGTAAATAGCGCATAAAGCCTCAAAATAATGGCCCAACCTTGGTGACAAGAAGGTATCCGGAGAGCGACAAGGTTCTGACTTTCACGGATTTTATTTCAATTTGACGTTTATATGTAGAACGTAACTTTAAGAGTACTTTTGGTTTCAAATTATACGATTATTGATTATCTACCATATTATTAATAATTATTATCTACCATATTATTAATAATTACATGATTAAGTACAGTTTATACGTGGTAGAGTCACGCTGCAGCTATACATATTATGGAGGTAGCACAGAATGGGTCGGCTTTACCGGGGCAGGACCACGCTCTTATACTATCAGCGTATAATATATATATTTTTTTTTTTTTTTTTTTTTTTTTTTTTTTTTATTTTTTATAAGGAAACCAGGCATTCCAGCTTAGTCCTCAGGGGTTAAAACTTATCGAAATTTGGATTCTTAATCGAGGGTAGATGTAAATGTCTAGTTTCCAGCATCTACTTATCATCTGGTGGACTGAGTGACTCTTATTCTATAAAAAATTAATAAAGGACATCATGATGGGGCTTCAAGAAGTTATACAACTGAAAAAAGGGTTTGAAAAGGTATTTCTAACAATATTCGTGTTTGAATCAGATAAAACTATTGCAATATATATTAGCGTGAAGCACCCCACTGAAACAGTACGGTCGCAGCATGGTCAACGACCCATAACGTGCGGTGAAACAAACTGGTCGGACGGTAACCGCACTGACGTCATGGAGCCTGGCTCGGATTTTAGGATCTGAAAGCCTTACCATAGATTAATAGAAATGTAGAGCCTTACCACAGTTTGATATAATTGTTACTACGATCTTAGTCAATTTCGATCTATAGGTTAAAGTTAAGGTTAAGGTATAAACTCCTTTTGAGCTACAAAGGGAGTTTATTTATTCGAAGATCATTAACTAAATCGCTGACGGGGGCTGTTTTAAACTAATTGTCCAGTTCGCATTAAAGCTACTTACATATGTATAATACACTTTGTTGTTTACCAAGAAACAGAAAATAACAAAATATACAACTATTAAAGGAAATTAAAAGGTGATGCGATTGCTACATAGAATTGTCTACCGAAAACCCAAAAAAGAATTAAATAGAAAGAGAAGAAAGATTAACGGGTAGGCTGCACTACAGTAACAAAGGATAACAACTTATGCACTAAAAAAAAAATACGTGTGGCACTCGGTGACTGCCGCGGTAAAGCTATTGCATAGCATTTTTATAAACTTATGCAATTATAATTATTTATTTATTTTATTTATGCAGTTAAGTCTTTTATATTAAATCAAGTTACACTTTTTGAGCGTGGTGACCGATAAGAAAACAATTTTTTTTTCTCTTATTGAATAAATGAGAAGTTAATATTGTTTAAAATATTTTTAATATCGTACAATACATGTAGGTTATTCAGGAATTTTTATCATTGAGTTAGCAGCTAGTGTACACGCATACGTCTAGTCGCACGCACACAAACACCGTGCCGAAGTCTGCCGAGTGCCGAAGTCTGCCGAACTGAAACGACGTTAGACGATGCACGGCTTTCAACGCCACACCTCCGTGCCCGTCGGAGTGGGGAGCGTGAGGTTTTTTTCGTTACGGAATTTCTGGATTCAGTCCCCGCGCTCAAGGCCCGCGATAGAAGCTATGCAATAGCTTAAAAGACAACAGACTTAAAGACGGTAGATCAGTGACCATTTATGATAAAAGTATAATGTAGTTCCCAAGAAATAAATAAACGATTTTTGTACGAACGAAATTATACTATAAGTAGGTCTTAGGGCTTCAATAAAACTTGAACTGGACCTATTTTATTGAAATTTCGTATGTGTGTTCGAGTTGGTTGGTAGGTGGCACTATCGAGATGTGTGAAGCCGGAGCGGATTGCTACTATCTCATAAAATAGTGTTCTTTTACAAAAAATTGTCTTGTTTTATTTAAAATCGATATTAAAAATATTATGTACGCAACTAATATAATGTCAGTTGTTCCTTTTTTGTTTTTTTTTTTTACATATTTTCTGTAGTGTTAGTATTTCTCTTGTGTAGTTTCTTCTCGGCCAGTATATTTATACAGCAAAAATTGATAAAATGCTAATGATGGATGCCCACGAACTTTTTCTGTCACTAGGCCGTTGTTACTTTGGTATGAGATGTGTGTTGTTATTTGACAGATTTCATAGCGGGGGTGTTAATTTGTTAAAAAATGTAGGGATTAATGTTTTGTTCTTGTAATATTAGTTATATTTTATATTAATTAGATTAAAAATAATTAAACTAAAATACAAGATTATTATAAAATTTTTCTTTTTTTTTTAAGAATACCATCGTAACTGTGTGTTGTGTGTTTCGTATGACGAGTGTAGAGAACCGGAGACCCTTTTTTACTGGAAACGAGGCATTCCACCTTAGTCCTCAGGGGTGACAACGCATCTTCGTTTTGATTCTTAATCGAGAATAAATGTAGATGTCTATGGGCCACAGCATCCACTTACCATCAGGTAGACTGTGTGCTCGTTTGGCACCCTTATTCTATAAAAAAATTAGCTGGTCCAAGTATTTTTTATTCTTTATAAATAAATAAAAAAAAAATCATGATAAGATTTTATTTAGAGGCGACAGATGGAAACTGAAACAGGAGATGGGCAGCAGCATGTTCCTGATAACTGCTCAAAAAATCCGCGGTCGACGACGCCTGCCAAGCGTGGTAGTTGTGGCAAAATCATCTCCATGCGGCAATCTATAGTGGAGGCCTATGATCAGCAATGGAAGTAGGGCTGAAATACATAGATGGATGTAAATTATGTGCATTAAAAGCTGTACAAAAGTATAACAACAGCTTCAGATACTTCAACTTTGGTTTTTTGAATCACGATCTATCTATATTAGTTTGCCCAAGGAGGATCAACTCTCAGCTTGCTTAAATGGTTAGCGGTCCAACTGGTTTCTAAACTATTGTTCCGGACTAAAACGTAAGGTCAATCGCTTATTATGACCGTATTTGGTAGGAGACGGTGGATTAAATAGATTTTATGATCTGTTGTGGGCAGCGCGTTGGAGGATACGTCAAAAAAGCCGATTCTAGTTTCGTAAGTACATAGGTTTAATATATATTTTTAAAGACTTCCATTACTGTCGACCGCCTTTTAAGTCGACTTCTGTAGGACTTTTGAAATTCGCGCAAAAAAGCATTAATTATGAAAGGGTTGCAAACAGATGAACAGACAGAGACGAAATGGGAAGATGGGATTTTCTTTTCATAGAATAAAGTTGACAAACGAGCACCTGACTATAAGTGAATGCTTTAGCCTATAGACAGCCACATGTCAAAATGCGTTGCACACCCCTGATGACTAAAATTAAATGCCTCGTTTCCACTAAAAGAGATTTCCAGTTATGTCTAATAAATGCTAGAAATGCGGTCTTTAAGGATTATGCTAGGGTATTGAGTCTACGAATACAGTATTCCCTGAAAGGATAAATCGTGGTATGCAAGATGATGTTGTGTTAAGCTTCGGTGGTTTGGTAGTAGAAAGAATGATGAGAAAAGAGTGACAAAGCTTTTATGGCAGCTTGAACGGCCGAGTCGGGAAGGGACGCCCTACGAAAAAGTTTATCGACCAAATTGGCGATATTTTGAAAAGGGGCCACGTTAGAAGTACCCTTAACCGACGAGCATGTATGCGTAGATATATGGATGTAAAGGAGGCGAAAGAGGTATGTCAGGATCGTCCAAATGGAAGTCCGTAGTCTCTGCCTACCCCTCTGGGTGACAGGCGTGAGTGTTTATGTATGTATTATGTATATGTTTTTTTTTCTTCAAATTTATGATCTAATAATATATAATATTATCACATTGCCACATAATAGTTACGTCAGTCGGGTACAATAAGAGTACATAAGTCGGGAATTCAATACTTATATATATATATATATATATATATATATATATATATATATATATATATATATATATATATACGTGGCAGAGTCACGCTGCAACTATACTACGGTTGTAACACGAATGGGTTGGCTCGACCGGGGAAGGAGCACGCTCTCAAAGAATACCAGCATAAAATAGCAGCTTAATACTGCTGTGTTTCGTATGGTGAGTGTAGAGATCCGGATGACCCTTTTTTTACCGGAAATGAGGCATTCCATCTTAGTCCTTGGGGGTGACAACGCACTTGCATTTTTATTCTTAATCGAGGACAGATGTACATGCCTACGGGCCACAGCATCCACTTACCATCAGGTGGACTGTGTGCTCGTTTGTCATCCTTATTCTATAAAAAAAATGTCTTAGCATCGACAAGAAATTATTAATTTATTATTTTGAAGTTGATTTTTATTTTTTATTAAAAGCTTAATTTAACTCTAACATTATTGTATTCTATTACGTGAAGTTAAATGTCCGTCGAACGGTGGTAATCGAAAGTGGCGTGGTCACCACTCGTGGCGATCATAGTGCACCCAATCGCAGGTACCGTTCACCATTGTGCCGGTTTTGAATTGATTTCTCACCGATATTAGTTTCCTTTTCGCGTTGTTTACGGTTTTCGACGCGGGCGATAAGCAACGTCGTTGTTTTGAATTAATCGCTTGAAATTCACCGATTGCAGTTCACAATAACACATTAATAACTAGTGGTTGCTTAGTGGTTGAAATTCGACCGTAATGAGGGCATCCACAACTGTTTATGCCATCAGAGAGGCACCGCTATGTAACAGGGTATATTTAACATATGATATATTTAACAGATTTCATAGCGGGGAAGTTAATTTGTTAGGAAAATGTAATTGTTACTGTTTCTTTCTGTAATATTATAGTACGTGGGAGTAATATGGTTATCGGGTTAATATGGTTCTTATAATTCAAAAACTACGACCTTGTTTGCAGAGATTACTCAGTGATACGATAGCTTTTCATCGGTCAATCAAATATGGTCAAATGGGTCAAAAGGGCGCTGCTTCATCGACGGCATTTTGACAGTAGACATTATAGTAAATATTTTAGTCGATTTTAATATTGTGTAGTGTAGTTAGTTTTCTTTAGGTTGATTTTTGAAGTAATAATGCCAGAGCTTGTTTGCTATTTTTTTTGTTAATATATTATTAGTCATAATATAGGACTTTGTGTTTTTGTCTATGTCCTCCTCCTAGTCTTGGTTTTATAGGGCGGCAAAGCTTAAGTAAAGTAAAAAGTAAAGTAAAGTTACAGCCTATATACGCCCCACTGCTGGGCACAGGCCTCCTCTCATTTCTGAGAGGGTTTTAGGGCGAGGAATAGTCCGCCGCGCTGCCCTAATGCGTGTTGGCGAACTTCACATGCCTTCGAAATATTTTTTTTCTTATTTCTCTGACATACAGGTTTCCTCACGATGTTTTCCTTCACCGCCGAGCACGTGGTAAATCAGCACTTAAAATTGCAGTTAACAATTTCATTGGTGCCGGCGGGGATCGAACCCGGTTTGCTCGCGTATTGTGAAATTTACAGCGAGCGCTAACCAACTAAGCTACCACGGCTCTAAAAAAAGCAAAGCTTAAGGTGAAGATATTATCCTCACGTAGCTTAGTTATATTTCATTTTAATTAGATAAGAAATTATATTTATTAGATAACCCAAACTACGAATATTCCTAAAAGTAGAGAAATTAAAAGGAAGGTGTTAAAAATAATCAAAAAATGCGATTTTTTCGTATATTATTGTAATATTATAGAAACTGACTAACTTTTATCAATGCATATTTCTTAATGAAATTGTGTAACAAAAAACTTCACCACAATTTCAACTAACGATATCTAGTGAGAAGAAGATCATTAGCCCTCATACATTAAATTTTTAGGTTTGATTATCAAGTAAACTGTATTTCACTATAAAATATAAAACACAGATTCCTTATATACAAAATATAAAATAAAAGCATTTTTGTTAAGATATACACTCTGCAGCCCATTGAAAAAAAAACATTTGATATCATACAAAATTCACAGCTTATTAGGTCAATCTGTCAGTAATTATTTGTGGGCAATACTTTAAAATTCTTGGGCAACAATCTCTTTTCTGCGCGACTGTTTGACCACAGACTATTAAGTGTTTGACAATGGCCTAAGAATAATAGCAACTGATTATGCTTGTACTTACTCTAAAACATTGGCACTATGAAAGTCAAGAAACAATATAAGTTGTCTCTCTCCCTTTCTCGGTAAAACAGAAACAGAAATCTACCGCCATCTACCGGAGACCATATAGTCTTTTCCCATTGTCACCTCTTACGACTCCTACGGGAAGAAACTAATTGATGATGTATCCTGTTAATTCACCACCATACTTCAAACCTGGACCTGTGCACATAAATACCAAAAGAAATTAAACCATTGAAAGAACTTACCTTAGAAGACAGGTCAGCGATGATTTCATTCTTTTCATCGATCTGCCTCTCCCTCTCCAGCGCCCTTCTGGCGTGGGCAGCGATGGAATCTCTCACGCGAGAGCCTTCTAGGGTAGCGTATGCTGCGACCGCGTCAGCACAGGCGGCCGCTAGGGCTCCGCGACGAAGGCATTCACCCTCCTCACCGTCCAGCGATGATATGGATAAATCAGAATGAAGACCTGGAAATAGAAAAATGGTTAATAAATGAAAACCCTCTCTTTATAATATACGAGTGACAAGCGAGCACACTGTCTACCTGATGGTAAGTGTTTCTGTGGTCCATAGACATCCACATTTATCCTTGATTAAGAATCAAAATGCAGATGCGTTGTACCCACGAGGACTAAGATGGAATGTTTCCAGTACACCAGGTCCCCGGTTCTCTACACTTCCATGCGAAAAACAGCAGCATTAAGTTGCTATTTTACGCTAGCATTCTGTGAGAGCGTGATCCTACTCAGTCGAGCTGAGCTATTCGTGCTACAATGAGAATATAGCTGTAGTATAAAGAATTTTTGATTAATTAAGAGGCGTGACCTATTCGTGCTACAATGAGAATATAGCTGTAGTATAAAGAATTTTTGATTAATTAAAAAGGCGTGACCTATTCGTGCTACAATGAGAATATAGCTGTAGTATAAAGAATTTTTGATTAATTAAAAGGCGTGACCTATTCGTGCTACAATGAGAATATAGCTGTAGTATAAAGAATTTTTGATTAATTAAAAGGCGTGACCTATTCGTGCTATAATGAGAATATAGCTGTAGTATAAAGAATTTTTGATTAATTAAAAGGCGGGTATAATGTTTAAGATATTCAAAAATAACTAATTCGATTGACAATTACGGGTAGCGATAACAAGGTAATGTTTTTATTCCTACTCACTTTACGGACATGAAGTCCAAAGTGACTTAATAAACCTTTTATCCATCCATTATAGTATATAAATATTCGCTGCTGAACATATTTAAAAAAAAAAAAACTTTATTGCGTTCCCTTAGAAAAAAAGGACACAAAGGGCGGACTTAATGCCTAAAGGAATTATCTAACATTCAACATAGGCCTCTCCCAAACCGTGGCTTATGTAAGGATATCCACTACCCCGTATCGGCCTGTGGGTGTCGTAAGAAATGACAGAAGGTAGCTGAAACAGGAGATATGCATTCTACCTGATGACATCTCAACATAATAAAAATAAAAGTGGTTGCCAACCGACCTGCCAAGCGTGGTAACTATTAAAAAATCCTTTCTATGATACAATTTATGGCAGAGATATAATATTATTAAGTGCAAATCGACTATTGCGCAGGTAAGTATAAATAATAGTATTACGTATGACAATGGTAATTTGTATATATTTTTAAGACAATTCTTATTTAATGATTTCTTATATTTACGCGAACACTACACATTGAAATAATACTAGTTTTTACGGAATTTATTGCGTATGTTTAACTTTTTAAATACCCGACGTTTCGAACGCTTTACAGCACTCATGGTCACGGGCGGGACTGAGATGTTCAACGTCCATATGTCATAGTTAACCGCGGTTACCATAGATTAAAATTTAACTTTGGTTCCGATCTATGCAGTATGAACTTATGGTATCTTGAAGTCTTGCAGTTGTATGCTTGGGTTGGGATTTAATTTTATTTATTATAGGATCCCAAGCAGATGGTAGCACCCAGCCATCTTCTCTATTGAAATTAGGATGTTTTTTGATTTCAATAGCCTCGCGAATCATCCTTGGAAGGAATCGGTGTTCTTTAGCGAGGATTTGCGGTCTATCAAATCTGATGTAGTGACGGGGGCGATCCTGTACGTGTTCACAGACTGCAGACTTCCCGGAGCGTCGATTCTTCACATCAGCTATATGTTCTTTAACGCGGGTTTTTATTGATCTTTTAGTTTGTCTTATGTAGGAGAGACAATTCTTATTATTCCTTGTTGAATTAAAGAAAACGCAACTTTGCGATCGGAATCATCTTGGTGACCGGTACCTCGATCATTCTATCTGTCGTAAATCTGTCATAGGGTTTCTCAGAGATTATAACTATGATTTTAATATACTTTAATACAACTGTTTAGTGGCGTGGTAAGAATTCCCACTACCTACCCCATAACGTCCCGTATATATTATAAGAGGAGACAGAGGAAAACTGAAACAGGATATGGGCAGTTTCTTCCTGATAACAGTAATAGGAAAATAAAAAACTGCGGTTGCTAACTCGCTTGCCAAGCGCGGCATAGTTGCCACTAGCTGCTAGCAGCTAATATATAAATCTCATACGAAATAACCTCTTTGAAAGTAATATTTTTAATTCCTATCCTCTAAGCCCACGACTCTCGAATGCCAGTAATAAACAATGTTATCACATTAGTAGGCGTCATAGATAAAAAAAAAACATTAAAAATACTCTCGTGTACACTTGCAGGTTAAAGTAGTTCAGTTATATGACCTCTTTCACCGCGGAGCTTATAGTGGTATCTAATGTACTTTAATTACATGCCATTTGCGTAATTATGTCGTTGCAATTTAAGCGAGAGTTAGCCGTTATTCAGAGATAATATTGAGTTTAAGCTCAAACTTTCCGATGTCAAATTTTGTGTCTAAGCTGGACCATATTATGTTACTCAGTTTTGCAATTGCTGGTAAAAACGAGATTCGAATTAGTTAATAGGTTTTTCTGTCAACAAATTTTCAGCAACAGCTCAAAATCAGAAAGTTGGCGGTGTTTCTCGTCCGCGTCTCGGAAAGCACGTAAAGCCGTTGGTCTTGCGCCTGATCTCTTTCCGATGTTGGATTACCGTCCCTCGGATTTCACATGCGTAAAGAAACCGTCCAGAGGGGAAGCTACATACAAACGACTCGCTGCGAATACACCCATAGGTACATAGTGCAGGGATGTGTGCGGAAACTCTCACCGACAGATTCACCGGCGCTCCGTTGGGGTACAAACCGGTTTGCGCTGGCTCAGTCAAAGTATCTATGAAAGGGCTGTTGGTTTATTTATTTAAATGCATATGACTGCATTTAAATAAATAGACCAACAATATTTCCTATTAACTCCTAATAAACGTTACGAAACACAGCAGGATTAAGCTGCTATTACACTCTGGTAATCTGTGAGAGCATTGTCCTTCCCTGGTAAAGTCGACCAACCGTGGTACAACAATAACATATCTGCAGCGTGGGTGTACCACGTAAAAATGGAAATCAATTAAATAAAGATTTTGTTTACACTACAATTATGGACCAGGACTACAATTATGTCCTGGTTGTGATTTGACCCCGCAACCTGTTAGCCATTACACCGCCTGGACCTAGTGGCGAAGCCTCCATAAAAGCCGAAAAGCCGGGCTTGCCTTATTGAAACTGAATCAATCAATAATATCAACAAATAAAATAACACGTAAACTGTTTCAAACTATTTAAAATTTCCCGCGCACTCCACTGTTCGAGACATGTCGACCGATGACCTCGTATTGCCTTAGCCATACTGCTGCTGTCATAAAAAATGAGTTTTAATAGAGCGATTAGTTGTTTTCCTCGCTCCCTCTCTTTCTAACCTATGGTAAAATATTCTATAATTAAATATAACTACCATTGAATATACAGCAATTAGTATAGAGATTTAAAGCACGGTAATTTTACCTATATTACTGTGTTTAAAGCCAGGCTTTAATGAATTTGTTAAAAGCGGAGGCGCGCGGGCAATACGTTTGCAAATTCATTTCACATTTCAATATTTATTTACTCTCTGTATTTAGCTTAAGCGATTTAATATTGCGAGTTCAAAATTTAAGCTTTTTTAAAGATTTTTAATGAAAATGGAGGATAATAGTGTTCCTTGTGTTGATCAATTGAAGTGTGTTAAAGTGCTAATTGGAGAGGAAAAGGTAAAATCTTCAAACTTTGTTGAGATAATACACAAGAAGGTCAAGAGTGTATTTCAGACTTATCAATTATCGCAATTAAAAAACAGTTATTGGTACAATTAAAACTTTCACCAACATTTTACTTGGACGTAATTAAATCTTTCCTTAAGAAAGCGAGACGATTCCTCTTATCTTATCTTATCTCTTATCCATTAGAATGTAAATAATTTGTTTTTTTAATTGTATACATTGTTCGTACTTTGTTCATGTTTTACTTTTGTTCATGTATTGTATTGGATGTAAATATTTTTTCTTTCGCTTAAACAAACCTAAACGGCTTTCTTCAAAGCCACCGAAGATATGCAATTGCTGATATGTAATACAATCTATCTAGCAGTAGTATGCCTTCTGTGTACTTTGTGTAACGTTTACGTCCTCGAAAGCACTGCACATGAAACTAAAGCGTGGAGACAGATCAAGATTGGTGTATTTTTATAAAACTGCTAAAAACAACAATCTATATTTTTATCAATTTACCTATATATCTTGGGCTTGCCCTAGTTTGAAGCTCTAGCTTCGCCATTGCCTAGACCACACTATTTATATTAAGTTTAAAATGCAAATTCAGCCAATATCACGAAACAACTATTAGTTAAAGCGTATTAAGAAAAAAGAGCGACTTTTATGTAAGCTTATATAGGGTTATGTAATGCGCAAAGTCAATTACGAACATATTTATTATCAAATCTGACATCTCTATCTATAAGGTCAATTAAATGGAAGTTTAAGCAACCGCAAAAATATTGTCCAATATGCTAATGCTGTAAGCTGTCGCCGAGCGAATGCAAATTTACTATCGAAAATCGTAAATGACTGGTTGTGTTCCAAATTTAAAAATAATTCCTAATTCATTCGCGATTAAATTAAAAAGAAAACAATATTACGCAACAAGCATTTGATAAATTTTTTATGGATACGTCGGCTGGCGAGCAGCGCGCAGTTATCGAGCAAAACTAGCGACTGATAAAAGACGCTACGATATATCCTTTGATTATATACATGTATATAATCAAAGGATATATCGTAGCGTATATATAGCACAAAGTAAATAGCCTTCATAAGTCACAATGAAGGGCACAGGCTCTCATTTAATAAGGTTTAACTTTTAGTTAATAACCAATAATTAATCAAAAAAAAAAAAACCGCCAGTCGTAAGACTGCACGTCAGAAGTGAAAACTTCATAACTTCACAAAATTGTTAACATTATTTTTGGGCTGATTTTTAGGAAGTATATTTTA